TTAAACTTAAAATTTTTTTGTATTCTATTAAAAATTATTTTGTGTTCTATTATCAAAAAAATATATTATATTGTATGCCTTTACAATGTAATGTATAAGTTATAATGTATTTTTATATAATATATATTTTTATATATAAAAATATAAAACATAATATAAGAATAAAAATAAATGGAAATTGTTTCAGAAGAAAGAATTGTATATAAATTATGTAACTAACGTTTTAAATGAACTAAATTTTTATGTTATATATTTACAATTCGAAAAACGCGAATATACAATAGTTGTGTCACAAGTTAAAATTACAAAATAGTTAAATGCGTTCAGTTTTATACAAATACAATAAAGCATATGTACGAGTGTCAATGGAAATTTTTTAATCGCATTTGCGATTTCCATTACGACGTGATTCCATGCCTTTCACTTGTGACTGAATATAACATATGAGAGTTGATTGAATGATTTTTTAATCGCATTTGCAATTTTTAATAATGCGTGTAGCTTTACTCGCCTTTTGCATCTCATGCTTCATTATATGATCCGATTGCACAAAGATTAGGTATATTAAATTTGTTACTAGAAACATTGAGATTTATTTAAAAAGGTTACGGAATTGAAACTTTATTTAAATACATGTAAGAGCATTAGTTACATTCATAAAAGTTTCATTTATTTATTATTTATTAATAATTTAAATCTTTTTAATAATAATTCAAAGAAAAATATTTAAAATATAGAAATACTGTATAACAATTTCAAAACATAGTTATAATCATTTTAGTAATGTAACAATAACATATACTGAAATTATGATACATTGATAGTATATGGAATCAAGTCTTTCAGTAACTTGCAGTGGTCAATTGCAATTAATCAATTGACACTATCTGTGTGCCGACGCATATCTACAAATTACATTTATTATATTAAGAGAAAAAAATGTATTGTAAAACTTCTTGAATGTATATTTGTAACGTATGTAATTATTTTCATTGCATTAATAATTGCGTACGAAATGCTGTTCTTTACAATTATCAATTGCAAGCTTTGCACGAAATAGGTATGCACGAAATGCGCGAATGAGTGCTGATATACATTGACAAGCACATCAGAATACTTCTTGCACATTTTGTATATATACGAGAGATATTTCACGATTATAAAAGAAATAGAAAATGTTTTTACATGTAAAAAATAAATAATTTAATGCTCATTTCTGATGCAAGCGTGTATGACATTTGATAGCACGCTTAATAATTTGGCAGTTAAAAAGGAATGATAACATTACAAATGGATCAGACTTGAGAACTTTAGCAAATTTTACATGTGTATAAATGTTACGATGAGAATCTTGTGCTAGCAAGCCTAACAAATTTTCTCAAGTTTCATTACGTGTTGTTCAACCAACTTTGTAAATCTTTTTGCACTGTGTCATTAAACTGTGCCTATTAATTATAATATACAATTATACCTAATATACAAATAACTGCACTCTCGAACTAGTCTCTAAAGCTTTACCATTGTTTTGTTCAAGAATACATCAATAATACCGTGTTAATTCAAGAATATTTCCATCGCTAAACGATATTATTCAATGATACGGTTTTGCACTTTGTGTTTGTGAAATATATAGATTTACGATTGATTTGGTTGACAGGCCGCATATATTGGTCTTGCTTTTTCCTTTGCTAAATCCGTGGCTTTCTTAGCAGCATCTTTGACCTTCTCTGCTTTACCCTGTAAAGAATGCTGTAAGTCCTCTGCAAGGCTCGGCTTTATCGAAACACCATCATCTGCAATGTGGCCGGTTTGCACCGAAAAACTTGTCTGAGACAGTTTCGGATTTAGAAACTGTGTTGTATGGGGAAACATATTTGCGAGAACATAATTGAAGCCCTCTGACATTTTGGCGCAATTCTTTTTAAATCGATCTAAGCCGAAAGCTTGAATCGCTCTGCTGAAACCAAAGACTTGACTGTCTATCCATGCCGATCTCTTTGCAATTGTCCAGTCTGGATTTTCATCGGAGATCTGATAAACCACTTTCTCGACAATGCTCTGAAAAAAATTATAATTCTGTTAAAAACCTAATTATTAATGATAATCATTAATAATTATAATTGTTTTCTGTATCAAGAAAATTTTTACTATTTAACAATCAAACAGATAAAAGACTTTATAATTAAAAATTAGTTTTATAAATTATATACATTTGATATTATTTAATTTTATATTAATTCATTTAAAATAGGAAAAATATTTTCATTTTTGTGAAAAAAAAATTTTTTCATTATCTATTTCTCTAAAATTCATTTAGCTCATCCAGGAAACAAATTAACATTTATCGTTTTAACATTTGTTCTAAAATAATGATAATATCAGTTTGTTTTCTAGGTAACCTACCATAACTTTAGTGTATCCCAAATTCCTTGTATATGTAGTCAGAGTCTTTGCTTCTGGATCGACAATACTTTCTTCCATAATTTTTACAATATTTTTACTAATGAATCTTTCACCCCATTTGGGTACTCTGTTGGTTTTCGTCAGCAGCCGCTTGGAGTAGAGTTTTCCATTTTTAACTTCTCTGGAGATTGTATCCTCAGTGAGAACGTGCGAACTGAAAATCGTATTGCACGTGAATTCCGATGAATGCACAACGTTATGTAATATTTGTATTTCAGTTTCGCATGTGAAGTAATGTGTCCGATCACCTGTGCGGATTTGGATATCTCTGAAAAAATCCTCGAACAACCTGCGTCCAATCGAACTTGAAGATTGTGATATTCTCGTAATATTTCACCATCGTACAAAGACAAAACAAGGAATCCGTTTTTACTCGATAGGGAAAAGGATCTGTGAAGAAAGCAACGGTAGTGCGAATCTTCAATGAGATTGACACAGATTACCGCGAGAATACAGTCGGCAATGGATCTGAATGGATCAGAATCCCCGGCGAATACGCCGCTTATCGAACATAACAAAAATCGTGTATTTAATACGCGATTACGTGCATTAAAGCAATGCGCAATGATAAGAATGCGACGAGAAGTGGGAGGGATTCATGGAAATAGAAGAACTGAGAGTTGCGCCTACGAATCATTATCGAAATCATTGATATTATCGTGGAGGATAGAGATGAAATCACACGATGCTCGATTTCTTGAATGATAAGCATGCATACTGACCTATTCTTTTCAAACTTGAACTTTTGCATCAGTTCATTTTTTTTCTTTTTTTTCAGAAAGAAAGAAGAAGAAGAAAGATGAACTGATACAAAAGTTTAGCCAAAAAGAATAGGCCTTATCTCACTTTAAGTTCCAAAAGTGTACATTAGTTCAGTTACAGAAAACAGAAAACCTAATTTTTGTGATCAATGAGGCTCGAAAATAATTAAAAAATGATGTTAATTGTCGAATATAATTTTTTCAATTACATATTTACAAAAACTGCTGCTTAAATTAATAAAATTAAATGCAAAAGTATGTAAATATTTTAAAGAATTAAATGTTTAAAGGGAATCTCCTAACATTATCTGTGTTTTACTGATTATTTTTTAATAAGTCTTTTTCTAACTCAGATTTAAAAACCCTTTTCCACAAATAAAGTATAAACAATAATATAGTCTAAACCAATTGATTTTAAATATATCGAACATTCAAAAACAAGATATAAAAAACGTTTTAAAAAACGTTTTAAAGATATTTTTTTTTAAAGATATCTTTAAGATTCACCTATTTGGATATCTTATACTCGTATTCATAGTCAGCCCTTATATTTAAGGTTTCCTTAAATTTATCTTTAAATATTCTACGAATTATTTCATTTGACTGCTGAGCATCTAAAGATAAATTTAAGGAAGCCTTAAGTACAAGATCTGACTAGTCTGGCTGGTATTCATAGTTAGATCTTATATTCAAAACCGTCTTAAGTACGGTCTTAAGAAGTCACGAACCAATCAGAAGGCTGCATTAGCGTCTTAAAACATTACTTAAGATGGTCTTGAAATAAAACTCGACTATACCGGCCTATGAATACGGGCATTATATCTCAATTTTGGACTTTTTCTTGTCTAGGATGGTCAATGGTTGAACGCGTTTGCGCGATTCAATCTTGGCGAATCAGGCGGATATGCTGTGGCATATCTATCGTTTCATAATCCGTGGTGTAATCAATTTCCTTTTCTACGGTACGAAAAAGCCGTGAGGTGCGTGATACGTATTGTTGTATAAAATAATCCGTAAGCATCGGGTGTTTTAACTGTTTTTCCATGACATTTCGCGCCGCGTTTGCGATCGATGTGCAACGCGATCCCCATTCACATGTTGATGTTTAATTCTTGCCCTCGAAATATATTTGCTATCACACAATCGCGGGATTAACCTCTTCGGTCGAGTCCCATGTCGTGTTCCATAACGACCGACTGTTTGGTTGTCATCAATTTCTCGCGATTTCGTTACTTCTTGGAACGTCACATCATGTAACGTGACACCTCTGGTTCTTCTTTTCTTTTCTTGGATTATAAATTTGTCTGTCACGCGGCACGAGAGGTTATGTGACGCTTGATATGTTAAGATGTTTACATTGCCAGCAAGAATTAATCTCGATATGATTTGTTTAGATGAAAAATAGTAACACTAATGTTTTCGATTTTATAAAAACACTTGCTAGAATATAACTTATAGTTATGTCATAGTTTGAAATTTCTTGTAAGTCATAATTTGTAATTTATATGCCTTGTTTCTTTTTCAGCATACACCAAGATGGTGAAGATTATGAAAATAGGGAAAGTCGTGTTGGTCCTCAGTGGCCGATACGCAGGAAGAAAAGCTATCGTCATGCGTAATTATGATGAGGGTACATCAGAGAAACAATATGGACATGCTATGGTTGCAGGCATTGACCGGTATCCACGCAAAGTCCACAAAAGGATGGGCAAGGGTAAATTACATAAACGGTCTAAAATCAAGCCCTTCGTTAAGGTACATTTTCTCATTCTCATAAAATTCTTTTTGAAAATTTTGAGTAAAGTTGAAATTTTCTATTGTGCAATTTTCAATATTTTTATTATATCTTCTCATTTATTTGTAAAACATTTTAGATCCTAAATTATAATCATTTAATGCCAACAAGATATACAGTGGATCTACAGTTAGAAAAAGTGGCTCCTAAAGATCTTAAGGATCCAATGAAGCGCAAAAAAGTTCGCTTCCAGACGCGTGTTAAATTTGAAGAGAGGTACATAATTTAATATACTGCTGTCATCTCAAAATCCATGCATCATAATCATAATTATTATCTAATTTTTGATTATATTTTCCAGGTATAAAAACGGTAAAAACAAGTGGTTTTTCCAGAAATTAAGATTCTAATTGTTTCTAAATAAAAGTCTGATATACAGATGTAAAAAGGTGAATACAATTTTTTCCATCACATTATCCTATGTAAACGAGATATACTGAATCTTTATATATATTTTTATTACCTTCTATTTTATCTGACTTTTAATTTAATCAACTTATACTTAAGTTATA